CTTCGTTTCGTTTCAGTTCGCGTCCATTTTCCTTTCGAGAAACATTCCAAAGAAAACCCTCACGATCCTTCGATCGCGTCGACGCCCCTCCGTCCACAGCCGCCAATCCTCCGATTATCGATTACACTCGCGCGCCGTTGATCGTTTCCGCGCTTCCCGATCCTTCGAAGTCTTCCGTGGAACCGCTTTTCCGGATCGCGTCTCGTCTAGCGAACGTGGAACTCGCCCCCTCATTTCCGCGTGTCATTCGCAGCTTCCAACGTCCTTTCTTATCTCAAACGACCGAGTAATTCTCGCCAGCGATCCGAATCGACCGACCACCGTCCGCGATCGTTTAACCGTAGCTTCTCAAACGAAAAGAAAGAATCGAATACTCGAAACGGTCGTTGAAACTCCCATCGAATTTTCTTTCGATTTCGTTTCCTCCCAGAACACGCTTCTTTGTCTCTCGTTTCCGAACGATCCTCCGTGAACGCTTCTTTTCCTTGTTTGGACGCGCACCCCTCTCGAAACGCAACGCTCGAAGGGTGCAGCAGACGCTCCGGTATCAAGCTCGCGACGTTAATAGAGCGATCGGTAACTAGGTTATAAAGCAATCTGCATAACCCTACCCTGTACTTTGCCCGAGCTGCCGGCTTCTCCTGTACCACTGCGAGCGGTCTCGTAATTACCGGCTATAATACGATTACTCGATCGCCAGACCTCGCAACCGAGGAGCGTCGTCGTCGGACACCGGTCTCGTCGTCTTTGCTGCCTTCTTCTGTTTCGTGCCGATCCCTATCTGTATTCTGTGCACATTTCGCGCCTCGTTTCGGACGTGTCCGACGCTTACTCGCGTTTAACTCTTAGGAGTCTAGATGGTTTTGTGATCTAGCAACTGCAACTAATTTTTAAATTTTAAATTGAATACTTTTAGGGTAGTTCCTTTGATTCGTTAAAATATTTAATATTGTAACTGGTGCAATATTGGAGCTTACTGAGTTCGAAGGGTTAAAGAGGTGGAAGTATTAATCCTTAGCACTAGATGGTTTTGTAATCTAGCAACTGCAACTAATTTTTATAGTATCTCTAGCACAAATGAAAAATGAAGATTGTAACGTCTGTTAGATTCCTTTATTTTCCTTCTTAGTACAAAATTTGAATACATAGAAGATCCAGTAATCTTAATGTAGTTCTTCTGAATTTATCCATTAATATATTTAATAGTATGAGAGTGCAAAGGGTTAACCCGTTGACGAATGTCAACGCTTTGCCGAGATGAAACTTTCATATTTCGAATACTGAGTTGCGAACGAATGATTTAATAACTCAAATAGCAAGGGATCAATGCATACTCTCTTTTTTCTCTATTATTTAAGCATCCGTTATGTAATTTCGCCGAATCTGCTGAAAGTTTCGTGTTCTTTGAAGAACATTCGTCCGCAAAGGGTTAACCCTTAGCACTCCAGGTTGTTTTGTAATCTATCAGCAACTGCAACTAATTTTTATAGATCTTTTATTTTTCCTCTTAGTACAAAATTCGGATGTGGGGAGAATTGAATAATTTCAGGGTAGTTTCCGTTCGGTGTTAACCCTTAGCATTCGAGAATATATTCTTCTCAACGAATATTCATTACTTTCTGATGAAATATCAACGATACGTTTTACTAACATAAAGAAATAAATTAAGTAACAGAACTATTTTATTTCGACGTTCCACGTGTTGATGCATCATAGAAGAATTTAATATTGAATAAATTTTATCATTTCCATGGGTCAAATCAAATGGCGACTGAAAACCGCCTCTCGAGTGCAAAGGGTTAAAATGTCACATGAACGTAGTAATGATCAATTAAACGACAGACTAAAAATCAATGTATTAAAACTAAACACGTCTCGCACAAATTTCCTCTCGCTTATCTAAGCAGGTTTACCGTTGGCTCGCAGCATCGCCGATCGAGCGACTTCCAATAAAATATTCCACCGTGCTGCCAGTAACTTCAGCTTTCCGAGGTGTGTTCGAACACACGCGCAAAGAGCTAAGTAAACGGCGGGACAGTTTCCGACCTAACCAAACAGTCCAACGAAAACCGAAGGTTTTATTCCTCGTTCTTCCTATTCGATCTCGCAGCGATCGCGCTGATTCTCTAATTCAACGATCCTCGTATCCTCTTCCGAAATCAGAGAACAGTATCGACGTCCCGTCGCTCCGAAGAATCTCCTGAATCTCTTCGTCGCGTCCGAAAGTCAGCGCGTAACGAAGCGGATTACCGAGCCGTCTGTTCGCTTTCGCGCGTCCTTCGCCCCGAGTAAACATCTCCGGATCGACGAACAGACCGCGACGTTCGCTAATGTATGTAAGTAGACACGTAATTACTCGAGCCAGTTGCCGGCAGCAACGCGTCGCGTTCAATCGACAGCGGTTCGACACGTTGACGCGTTCGAGCGAGGAGATCGACAGTGAACCGATAGAAACTCGAATTCTAAGGTGAAGTCCGCTCGGGAAATCCATCGTTCGAATTTTCCTCGGTCGATCCGGCCAACTTGTTGAAGCCCGAAGCAACAGTTTGCCTTCGGAACGCGTCGCTTTCCTGGCTTCCGGAGATATCCGCCGCGTTCCATCGATTATTCGCCTCCCTCGGCGCGTTGTCTGGCTGCTGAACGTTTGATTCGCGGCTCCTTCGCCGACGGCACCGTCCGTCCCGAGGAAACGGACTCGCCTGACTACGTCGACGTAAGTGAATCTCGGCTCGCTCGCCGGAAAGAAAATACGCTCCGCAGGGCGTATCCCGGCGCGGGGGTGAACGGTGTCGTTTGAAACGGTGCGTAGCCGTCGCCGGGCGAAATCTAGTTAGCGACTCGCTCCGAGGCGTCGGAGGATCCGCGGCAGCGTCTAATCGCGTCGATCCGTGAACAGCCGCCCGATTGCGAGCCGCGCGAAAGTTGTCTCAAAGACGCGATCAAGCTATTCACTCGGCGGAACTGTGCCGGCGCAGCCGGCGCTCGCGTCCGACAGTACTGCTAATTGCTTCGCAAAGTTCCGACTAACTTTCGGAGAATCGGGGCCGCGCGACTCGCCGAGAATTTCGTGCCGGACGATTGTCCTCTATAATCGCGTTAGCCACCATTACATGATACCTCGATATTGTAGCGTGGAGCAGGGGGAGGGGCTGATAGGCTTAGAGATTAGTAAACGTTACGTTTATATTCGGTTTATCGAGATTCGAGGGTACAGCGTCGTTTTAGACGGGCGAAGGCGACGGAAACGTCGTTTCTCGTTCTCCGTTGGTGGAACGGTTCTGTCTAAGGGTGCTTTATGAGGGTAGGCGATAGGGTCGTTGTTTCTCTTTTCACGAGATGCCTACGATATCGAGTTCTCGTGTTCATGGCGAATTATTGGTCGTTGATTGATATGAACGAAGGAATAGAAGGAAGAATGAAGGAGCAAACGAAGGAACAAGCGAAGCGCGAAGAGCGAGCGTGTTGATAGGCTTAGAGATTAGTGAACGTTACGTTGTATATTCGGTTTATTGAAATTTGAGGATACAGCGTTGTTTTAGACGTTGTTCGCGAAGACGACGAAGGAAACGTCGATTCTTCTGTGTTTTCCATTAGGGCTGTAACGGTTTTTTCTAGCAGGTACTTTACGAGCTGAAATTGCTGGAGTGTCAGCGTAGGCGATAGGGCGAAGGTCGCTTCTCTTTCACAAGACTCCTACGACATCAAGTTCCCATGCCCACGAATCATTCGTCGATACGAACGACGGAGCAGAAAGTGGAATAGAAGGAACAAACGAAGGAACAATCGAAGAAGCGCGCGAGGGCCGAGAGGATCGCGGTCCAGCGGCACGATCTTAAAATAAATCGAGCGGGTTGACGCCGGACATGATTTTTCTATTAGCTCGCCTCCCCTTCGGCACTCGTGGCCGGGATATGATCGCGCATCGCCGCCGCCGGCGCGATTACGGGCGCGAGTGCGAGAAGAAAATGGGCGTAGAGTCAAGCGCGGGGATGATAAAGGGCTAAAAACGAGGAGCGAGGGGAAACTCGGTGGAGGAGGAGTAGGAGGGCGGGGGTCGCAGCGTGAAAGAAGAATGGAACGCCGAGCGTGCACGTCCATCGAGCCGGGATAACGAGGTCGGATGAGTTGCTGGATCCGCGGTCACTTCATCAACGCGGAGCCAACTAAGCTGTCAATCGCAAAGCCACTACCGCGTCAAACCCTTTCGACAGCGACTAGGTCCCACTCGAGCGGCTCTCGACGCATC